ACAGTCGTCTCTCCGAGGCAGGCTTTTTCTTTCCTTCTACCAAACTTTTATTTTGAAAGAAACAATCTAGTGGCAAGACGCAAGACTCGAGACGACGTACTTAGTGATCTGACTAATATTAAATGCTCTAAATCCCCTACTCATTTTCGGTTTCGGGGGGAAAAAGTATCCTTACGTAGCCAAAAAAAGTTTGGTATCAATAATATTTTTTTAACGAAACCATGTAGATTTGGAGATATTCTCCCATTGTATTTGCGTAGAATTCATCATAGCAAAAGCTTTTTAGAAATGAAATCAAGTGTTTTCCTCCATATACCCTGATTGTGGTAATCATCAATTATCAGTAGAGGAATATTCCTATAATGTCACTATAAAAATTTCGAGGTAAATTTTAGCTAGAAGGGAGTTATAAACTGGTTTCACATGCAGCCAAAGAAAGACTACTTTGGAGTTTTGACTGCTGATTTGTCCACCAAGAACTTCTTCGCACACAAAAAACGGTTACATCTTCCAGACTGTCTTCACTCGGTTTGCCTTGTGCCAACATTTTGCTTGAAAGGGATAGTCTAGTAACAAATACAGCAGTCTGTCAGCAAGGAGCAAGACTCGAGACTATGTACTTAGCGATGTGACTAATGCATAGTCGCTTATCTTTCATTTCGTTTGAGAAGGCGGGTCGAAGGGATTCGTAGATTGGCCCCACCGGATACCGCAGGGGGGTTGCCTTGAGCTTTTTTGTCTGTTTAATTGTGTGAAGAATGTCTCTATTCACCTTCCTACGAATCCGATAAATCCGTGCTGAGCTTACGTCTGTCATGTGAAGGACATCGTCGGAGCCAGACACCATTATTCATGAAAAAATCACCAAAAAATACTAAAGCAAGAAAAGTGGCCAACTGGGATCCTACTTACTTCATATACCACACTTTTTGATCTTAATGAGCCATTCCATGATTTGTTTGGCTGTTTTATGCTTTTTCTACATGCATGTAAGAGGATCAAAGTGATGCAAGAAGGGGAGCGGATGTGATCACACTTTCGTTTATCTAAATAAACTAGCGGGTGATCCAGTAATCCTGGGTCTTGTTACAGCTTCGTGGGTTTGTCTTTGTGTATATATGCAACAACCATGAATTGATTGCAAAAACAGGCTCCAGCTTAGTCTAGACTTTTCCTCTTACTCAGTGGCTCTTCCTGTTCCCTTTCCCTTCTCTCTATCTCTCTCCCTCTCTCTCTCTCATTCTGTTTAGAAGCCAGGGATAGTTCCTACTTAGTTTCCTGCATTCGTTCCCCTTGTTCAGGTTGTTCTTTGTTTTATTAATTTCAATTGCCTCTCTGATCTTCCGTTTAGCTGCGAAGTCCGCATATCCGGCAAAACGTTGGGATTTAGACCACTCTATCTGGTTTCCTATAGTTACCACATGCTCAGCCACTCCCCATTAAAACTTCCATCCATTCGTTTGAATCTCCTTGCAACCTAAACCATATTGCTTATTTGAGCCTTTTTTTCAATATTGTGGGTTATACAGGACTTTGACCGATTTCCCCTTTACTTGTGTGGGTACAGTCAC